GAACCGAAGATGTTGGCTCGATCATGTGATGAGCTGTGTCCAATCACAGCTGATCACATGTAAACAGGGAAATGCCGGTTATCGGCATTTCTCTCCCCACTAGCTGTCACGCTGACAGCTCGAAAACAGAGAAGAGCCGGCATTCCTCGGAGGGGACATGTACACAGATCATCAGAGCATTGATGATCAGTGTGCCCTGATCTGTGTAGCCCCAGCAGCACCACCTGTCAGTGTCCATCAGTGCCAGCTCTCAGTGCTCATCAATGTCACCTGCCGTGCCCATCAGTGCCACATCTATACCACATATCAGTGCCCATCTGAGCTGCCTTTCAGTGTCACCCATCAGTGCCAGTCAGTGCCACCTATCAGTGCTGCCAATCATTGCCGCCTATGAGTGCCAGTCAGTGCCACCTATCAGTGCCCATCAGTGATGCCTGTCAATGCCCATCAGTGCCACCTATCAGTGTCCATCAGTGCAGCCTATCAGTGCCCATCAGTGCAGCCTCATTAGCGCACATCAGTGAAGGAGAAAAATCACTTACAGTCAGGTCCATAAATATTGGGACATCGACACAATTCTAACATTCTTGGCTCTATACACCACCACAATGGATTTGAAATGAAACGAACAAGATGTGCTTTAACTGCAGACTGTCAGCTTTAATTTGAGGGTATTTACATCCAAATCAGGTGAACGGTGTAGGAATTACAACAGTTTGCATATGTGCCTCCCACTTGTTAGGGGCCAAAAGTAATGGGACAATTGGCTTCTCAGCTGTTCCATGGCCAGTTGTGTGTTATTCCCTCATTATTCCAATTACAATGAGCAGATAAAAGGTCCAGAGTTCATTTCACGTGTGCTATTTGCATTTGGAATCTGTTGCTGTCAACACTCAAGATGAGATCCAAAGAGCTGTCACTATCAGTGAAGCAAGCCATCATTAGGCTGAAAAAAACAAACCCATCAGAGAGATAGCAAAAACATTAGGCGTGGCCAAAACAACTGTTTGGAACATTCTTAAAAAGAAGGAACACACCGGTGAGCTCAGCACCACCAAAAGACCCGGAAGACCACGGAAAACAACTGTGGTGGGTGACCGAAGAATTCTTTCCCTGGTGTAGAAAACACCCTTCACAACAGTTGGCCAGATCAAGAACACTCTCCAGGAGGTAGGTGTATGTGTGTCAAAGTCAACAATCAAGAGAAGACTTCACCAGAATGAATACAGAGGGTTCACCACAAGATGGAAACCATTGGTGAGCCTCAAAAAAACAGGAAGGCCAGATTAGAGTTTGCCAAACGACATCTAAAAAAGCCTTCACAGTTCTGGAACATCATCCTATGGACAGATGAGACCAAGATCAATTTGTACCAGAGTGATGGGAAGAGAAGAGTATGGAGAAGGAAAGGAACTGCTCATGATCCTAAGCATACCACCTCATCAGTGAAGCATGGTGGTGGTAGTGTCATGGCGTGGGCATGTATGGCTGCCAATGGAACTGGTTCTCTTGTATTTATTGATGATGTGACTGCTTACAAAAGCAGCAGGATGAATTCTGAAGTGTTTCGGGAATATTATCTGCTCATATTCAGCCAAATGCTTCACAACTCATTGGACGCCGCTTCACAGTGCAGATGGACAATGACCCAAAGCATACTGCAAAAGCAACCAAAGAGTTTTTTTAAGGGAAAGAAGTGGAATGTTATGCAATGGCCAAGTCAATCACCTGACCTGAATCCGACTGAGCATGCATTTCACTTGCTGAAGACAAAACTGAAGAAAAAATGCCCCAAGAACAAGCAGGAACTGAAGACAGTTGCAGTAGAAGCCTGGCAGAGCATCACCAGGGAAGAAACCCAGCGTCTGGTGATGTCTATGCGTTCCAGACTTCAGGCTGTAATTGACTGCAAAGGATTTGCAACCAAGTATTAAAAAGTGAAAGTTTGATTTATGATTATTATTCTGTCCCATTACTTTTGGTCCCTTAACAAGTTGGAGGCACATATGCAAACTGTTGTAATTCCTACACCGTTCACCTGATTTAGATGTAAATACCCTCAAATTAAAGCTGACAGTCTGCAGTTAAAGCACATCTTGTTCGTTTCATTTCAAATCCATTGTGGTGGTGTATAGAGCCAAAAATGTTAGAATTGTGTAGATGTTCCAATATTTATGGACCTGACTGTATTTACAAAATTTTATAACAAAAACTAAGAAAAAACTTTATTTTTTTTTTTTTCAAAATTTTCAGTGGTTTTTGGTTTAAGAAATAATAAAAAACCCAGAAGCGATTAAATACCACCAAAATAAAGCTCTGTCACAAAAAAAAAAAAAAAAAAAGATAAAAATTTCACATTAAATGATTTCTAAAATAAACCCTCAAATGTCTTTCAGTTAGGGTTTACACCCACCCAAAAAAAAAAAAAAAAAAAGAAGAAAGCAGAAAGCAGAAAGAAGAAAGAAGGGTAGTCAGTCTGCAGTAACTCCAACGTATATGTATATTGCGCCAGCACTACAGCACTCCTTAATGCACAATGGTTGCTGTGGTGCACTGCAGTGGAAGTGTAAGACCAATTTCTGATTAATATGAACAATAGCATTGCCATTTTTAGTAATATATTAAATCTTACAAGACAGCAGTGATTTTTTAGAAATAGAAAGAAGAAGCTTGAAAAGAAAAAAAATATAAAAAGAAATAAAAACAAAAAGACTTTATGATCACATACACTATATAACCACTAGTTTGCGGTTACCTGAACTTCACACCTAAACTACAATCATTAACAGTATCTAGACACGCTTTCAGGGGTTTCCAGTAAAGGGTACTGTTACTGCTACAGCATACAAAGACGTTTTTAACCACTTCAATACCAGGCACTTATAACCCCTTCCTGCCCAGGCCAATTTTCAGCTTTCAGCGCTGTTGCACTTTGAATGACAATTGCGTGCTCATGCAACACTGTACCCATATGAAATTTTAATCATTTCTTTCACATAAATAGAGCTTTTTTGTTTTTGTTTTTTTTGGCTAAATAATACAAATAACACCTGAAACTTTTGAAATTAAAAAAAAAAAAAAAAAAAAAAAACAAACAAACTTTTTTTTCATTTCTGTTATAAAATTTTGCAAATAATATTTCTTCATAAGTTTAGGTCAAAATGTATTCTGCTACATTTCTTTTTTGAAAATAATAAATAAATAGCATTTTTTTTTCAAATATTTCTATTTTTTTTTATTGCTTTTTTTTTTTTTTTTTACGATTTTATTTTTCAGCACACGGTGACCAAAGCAATACAGTGTTACCATAGTAACATTGAACTACTCTGGACAAGTGATCAGGATTTTTTTTTAACACATTATGATTGCTAATACTAATGCATTTCATTTATATTTGCCATCATTGTTACTGAATGAAACTGATTCATTCAGTCTTTTGTTGTGATTAGCTGTGATTGGGCAAAGCTGACCACATGATACAGATGGGCTGTGATTGGCCCTGTCTGTACCATGTGACTGCTTTAACCAATCACAGCTAATAACACAATTGTATACAATGAATGGGCATGACAGGAAGCCATCCATTGTATACAACTGACATGCGATTTGCTGTGATTGGACACTGGCAACGGTCTGGTGTAGTGATAGGACATCGGTTGTGTCCAGTGGACAAAGCCGGTGACAGATCGCGCCACAGCACGACCCCGTCATATGACGCCCAGTCACAACGGCGAGTGTCCCGCCCGGACGTCAATCTGCTATAGGCCAGGCAGGAAGATGTTAAACAACTGTGTGCTTCCAGCACCTTGGCAACAGTTTAGGAAGGCCCTTTCCTATACCAGCAATAATGCATCCCTGTGCACGAGGCCAGGCCCATAAGGACACGTTTGGCATGAAAGAAGAGCCTTCCAGAAAGAGTTGAGGATCTTCTAGCCACAAAAGGGGCAACTCTATATTAATGCCCATGGTTTTGAAAAGGGTGGCCAACAAGATCATGAAGGTATGATTACCAGGGGTCCAAAAACTTTTCACCATATAGTGAATCACAGATAATCATACAGGTATCATAGTATTCAAAATAACAAAAGCATACTATATGTAGCAGCCATATACACAGTCAGAGTTTATTATGTTAAAGAAGAGATCTGGTGATTCATTATGCTTCCTAGAAGCATAAAGTGCTAGACTTTTTTTTTTTTTAAACCTGAACTGAAAAAGTGAAGATCTGCTATCTGCGAACATTTTAGCCAGATAAAAATACAGGGAATAAAAAGCATCCACTTTTTAGTGGCTAGCTAAAATATCCTGAAAAATCAGAAAGTTTGAGTTTAATATTTTAGTTAATCACTAAAAAGTATCACTTTAACAATGCTTTTTTGTCATCTTTACCTCTAAGTTAGAGTGAATATCTAGAAATGTTAACGGTCCCTAAGAAGTACCCAGGAAAAAATAAGTGTACCTTTGTCTGGAATTCCTCCTGAAAAGCAGCAGTGATCTTCCTAGTATGCAAGTGCGCCTAAGGCAATCTGGTACCTACAGCCTCATAGCTGTATATCTGCAGTGTAAGCGTGCAGTATCTGACTGCTAGTCTCAGGAGATTTGGTGATCTCGCTACCATGCTGCTCATGTTCTTCTTGCTGGCAGCTGTAATGTGAGAAAGCAAAGTCCTGTCTCTGCCAAGATGGCCACCTCCACACAAGGCATGGTAAGTCATCAATAAGAAAAAGCTGTTGCAGGGAGACCACAGGTAATACTAGTGACTAATTCTTTTCCCTCTGTCAGCTTTTTTTTTTTACCTAGCACAGCCTCCATAGTTTAGTTCTGGGTTACCTATTTCCCATTAGAGAGATTCAGGTTAAAATATCTATGAGACTAGAAACATTTGTCAGGAAGCCAGAAAAACCAGAATGAATGTTTCTTTGTAACTAGACAAAAGGTTGGAACATGAGAAAACAGAACACATTCATGTAACTCGTATTCGTGTAACAAATTAAACTCACGTGAGCAGAAATATAAGATATGCAGTCGTCTAGCTTTGATAACATGGGTATAAATCCTTCGCTATTCACAGATAATGTCGGGGAATTTAATTTCTAAATGAAAATAAAAACAAACAAACAAAAACAATTACACAAGGATTATTTCTATAACAGTTGTGTTAGAAGGCATGAAACTACAATGACTGAAGTATCAGTATTATTTGCTCAGTTTGTGCAGGCTGGGACTTGTAGTCTCCCAGCAGTTGGATGGTTATGTAATGATAGAAGATACTTACAAAGAGTCCCATTCCTCTTGCTGGACTTTAATTTACATTTTGCACTATATTTTGGAGGAGGACACAAAAGGAGCATGAAGATCCATGATGAAGAGGTAGAAGAGTGCCTCTAAAGTGGGACAGGAAAAAAGCTGAACTAACGGGGAGAGTCCCCAAACATAAAAGCCAGCAGGTGACTCTATTTCTGCCCACTACACAAACTATTACAAATATCCCTTTCGGGTAGGGTCTCGATCTAATGTGGCTACATGCCTATAGACTCCAATTTAAAAAAGTTTATGGAGCAGCTTTACTTAAAAGCAGAACTTCACTCTAGTTTGGAGCCACATGCTAGTCACAATTGATAAATATAAAAATATTAATATACTTTTTTTTTATATTTTCCTGCCAAAAGGATTTTTTTTTCTGGAAAGGTATGATTTTAGCACTGAATATAAAAACCTTAAAAAAAAAAAAAAAAAAAAAAAAAAAAAAAAAACACAACACTTATTTTATTTACAAAAGAGAGTTGCCAAGATCTAATGATGGAAAATGAACAATGGTAATTTAATTTTATCATGCACATAGCAAACAAAACATACTTACTGTACTTATATTTTCTAACTCATTAAAATAGGAAAGTTTCTGTTGAATAGTTTCAGCAAGGTTCACAAGCTCAGACTGGGAAAAGAGAAAAAATAAATCATGTCAAAGATAATATCTTACTCAAGTAAGAAAAACATTTCACTAATTATTTCTGTTAGGCTGATGTCAGACAACTCTGCTGTTAGTGACAACATCAGAATAGCTAAGAGGCAAGTTGACTGACTGGAATTACTCCTAGTGAAACTACACACATTTTTTTTCCTAATTTTGGAGAGAATATTCAAGCTTCAGAACTTCTTTCGATTCTTATATCACTTTCTGCCCAAGAAGTGAGAGGAAATGTCCCTAAAGAGAAGGAAATCCCACCTGTACCAGCTGTCAGCAGAACCAATGTACCCACAGGAAGATTGTCCCTGTACTTTCTAGACTAAAATTTTACAATTCACTTCCTAGCATTGTAAGTAGGACAGGAGATGAGAAGTATTTTTTTTCTAAAAAGGAGACACAGACATGTGAGACATAGAAGCCTGGCAGAGGTTCTACCCCTTACCCATGCCACCTAAACAAACAAAAATGTTTGCTGAAGTTTGTCTTGTCTTACAGATAAATGGTCAACAGAAAAACAACTCACAGCATATTTTAGTTTACATTAAAGACACACAAACTATAAAAAAAGAAGTATTTGGTACTGTAGTTTACTTTTGAATATAAGCATATTTGAAAGTTTGGTGCATCCTTTCTCAACCTTTTTTCCCCAGAGGAACTTGTGAAATATTTTTTAGGTTTCAGGATCGTTAACTAAAATCAATTCATTGAAGCTCAGTGAGAAAATCCATAGCCAAAAAGTTCCTCCCGATTCTTGGTGCAGGCTAGATGTAGCTCTTCACTTGTTCCAAGTTGGAACTCTGACATCACCCCTGCTTCCAACAATAAAACCTAAAGATCACATAGGGCTTGTGCCACAGAAAGTTTTTAGTATATAAAACCTAAAGATCACATAGGGCTTGTGCCCACAGAAAGTTTTAAGTATGGACAATACCTGCTGCTGGATTTATATATTTACACCAGATTTAATTTTTAATCATTCCAGCTTCTTCCAATGAAAATTTTAAAATTTATTGGTTTACTGAAATGAGCAATAACTTTGGCATTATCGATGGAAAGCAAAGTACATATACATAACACACACACTTTTTAGATAACATCAAATGCTTTGGGGATATTGTCCTGCAAAAAAGATTTTCCATGCAATCTATAGACAAAAAGATGTAATAAAACTTGAAAAGAAACTTTTAAATTTTAGTTTTAATTCTCATTATCACTGCATTTAAGCAGTTTAAAAATAAATACAAATAAATATATTACCATTAAATAGCTTCAATTCGAATCAACCATAACTAAACAGCACCCCAGGCTCCCCCTCTCCCATGTATATGAAAAAAAAAATATTTTGACAAGTGTTTTCAGTTTTCAACCAACTAGTATATTTTAGGAAGCATCCTGTATTTGTGTCCTCCATACGAAACGTATTGCATAACACATGTTTTGCGAATGATATCCTTTGTGTGTATTGGGAAAAAACAAAAAAAGGGAGGAAAGAAAGCAAATTCCGACATGTAGCTACTGTATAAAGTATATACAGTTGTGTTCAAAAATAATAGCAGTGTGTTGAAAAAAGTGAATAAAGCTCAAAATCCTTCTAATAGATTTTATTTCCATACACACAAATGCATTGGGAACACTTTTGGGAAAACGTCTTTTATGTGTGACACATTCTATTCCGATGTTATAGCAAAATATGTTTTACTGGTGTGTTTGGGGTCGTTGTCTTGTTGGAACACCCATTTCAAGGGCATTTCCTCTTCAGCATAAGGCAGCATGACCTCTTCAAGTATTCTGATGTATTCAAACTGATCCATGATCCCTGGTATGCGATAAATAGGCCCAACACCGTAGTATGAGAAACATCCCCATATCATGATGCTTGCACAACCATGCTTCACTGTCTTCACAGTGTACTGTGGCTTGAATTCAGTGTTTGGGGGTCGTCTGCCAAACTGTCTCCGGCCACTAGACCCAAAAAGAACAATCTTACTTTCATCAGTCCACAACATGTTGCGCCATTTCTCTTTAGGCCAGTCAATGTGTTCTTTGGCAAATTGTAACCTCTTCAGCACATGTCTTTTTTTAAACAGTGGGACTTTGCGGGGGCTTCTTGCAAATAGCTTGGCTTCACATAGGCGTCTTCTAATTGTAACAGTACTCACAGGTAACTTTAGACCTTCTTTGATCTTCCTGGAGCTGATTGTTGGCTGAGTCCTTGCCATTTTGGCTATTCTTCTATCCATTCGAATGGTAGTTTTTTGCTTTCTTCCACGTCTTTCAGGTTTTGGTTGCCATTTTAAAGCATTTGCGATTTTAGCTGAGCAGCCTATCATTTTCTGCACTTCTTTATATGTTTTCCTCTCTCCAATTAACTTTTTAATCAAGGTACGCTGTTCTTCTGAACAATATCTGGAACGACCCATTTTCCTCAGAATTTCAGAGAGAAATGCACTGTAACCAGCATGTACAACATTTGCTGCCTTCCTTCCTTAAATAAGGGCAATAATTGCCACCTGTTTTCAAAGAATGAATGACCTCACTAATAGAACTCCACACTACTATTATTTTGAACATGCCCCTTTCAATTAGTGATTCAATTACACAGAATCAGCAGCATGCATGTCATGACTGTTGGGTCTGTTGGATTTCTATTACTACTCTACACACCTGCTAGCAAATTGCCATGTAGAAATATCATTTCTACCAAAAACAGTGATTGATCAGGTTAGTGATGATTGACTGCTATTATTTTGAACACAACTGTTTTTTATATATATATATATATATATATATATATATATATATATATATATATATATATATATATATATATATATATAAATCTTATTTGCATGATGTGGCAAAGCTATTTTTAAATAAAACAAAAAGGTTTTGTAAATCTTTTGCAATGCGACACTTAAAATATTGTTATTAATATTATACAGGACTTATATAGCAGCAACAGTTTATACAACACTTTACAATAAAAAGGGGGGACAGTACAATTGTAGTACAGTTTGATACAGAAGGAATTGGAGGGCCCTGCTCATGTAGTTTACAATCTAAAGGGAGGGGGAGGGATTTAAAATATTGGAGAAGTGAAAGAAGCTTATTAGGACACTTTCGCTGCCAGAGCCATTTTTCGTACACATTTAAAACAGAATTTGTTAGCCCCCCCTTAAACATGATATTTTTCTATAAATACCCTTAAGAATAAAATAGCTGTAGTTCCAATTTATGTTTTGCGATATTTGTGCAAGAGTTTATCAAGCGCAGAATTGCAGTAAAAAAACAAATTTTAAATTTAAAAAATGATTTGAGGACAATAAAATGTTATACCTCACCTAGTTTTGGTAAAATAAAATATGAGATTGAGCCAAGTATAATATAAAAGATGAGATATGGGCAGCACAGTGGCTAAATGGTTAGCACTTCCGCCTGGCAGTACTAGGGTCGTTGGTTCAAATCCCAACCACGGCACCACCTGCCTGGAGTTTGCATGTTTTCCCTGTGCCTGCGTGGGTTTCCTCCGGGTACTCCGGTTTCCTCCCACACTTCAAAGACATGCTGGTAGGTGAATTGGCTCCTGTCTAAATTGGCCCTAGTATGTGTATGTATGAATGTAAGTTAGGGACCTTAGATTGTACACCCCTTGAGGGTTAGGGACTGATGTGAATGTACAATATATATATATATATATGTAAAGCGCTGCGTAAAGTTGACGGCGCTATACAAGTACCTGAAATAAAATAATAAGTAAACAGATACCCAACATGTCAAGCTTGGAATATTTTTCCACGCGCATGCAAAACGACATTAAACTGCAGCATCCTACATATTTCATAGGCAAAACCTTAAGTCCCCTACATGTCATTTAGAGATAACCCTGAATAATGGCCCTAGAATTATTGCTCTCACTCCAGCCTTCACTGCAATATGTAATATGTGTATCGCAAGCAACTGTCTTATACGTAGCACCCCCAAGCACCCCGGGTGCATTTACATGTGGGGGTGGGATGTTTGAGGAAGGTTGGGAAAATTTTAAAGGGCATAATTCATTTTTACCAAAAAAGTGATATA